ATCCATAGCATGGTTTTACAACACAGATCTCAGACAAAATAAAAACACCAACACTTGCACACGCTGGTCAGGGAAAGTGTGCTAGAGCCCTGCTAGTAATAGCCTTGTTCCAGCACTATTGTAGCTATCAGTTTCTATACCAGTGTGAATAGGGGCCAAAAAGACAAGGATCCTGCAGATAACTGTCTGCTAAAATGCACATAAGCCTTGGAGAGGGAGCAAGTCACAGGCAAAAGACAAGAGCAGAAAAGAATAAGAAAGGTGCAAAATTAGAGTTTGGGCTGGTTCCCACTGAAGCCAATAGCAAAATTCCCATTGACTTTATTGGTATTAGAATCCAGCCTTCAGCCCCCTCCTGGACAGCTGCCCTATTATAAGGCATGTGTGTGTGAAATTCCAAAGCCAATCTAGCTAAGCACAGTGTCTCCTGTTCGGGAATTAGAACTCTCATTTGGCACAGAAACCTTGGCAGAGGGGCGAGAACTTTGGAACAGGTTTGAGCCTGTAGTGCTGGGGAATCTGCAAATTGCATTACAGCAATGGTATGTGGTATGCAGCTCCGCTCTAATCCAGAAGCGGATGGAAGCTAGGCAATGGGCACGCGTGGCCCCAGGCCAGGGAAACTCACAGCGCTGCGTGCCCTGGATGGCTCAGTTTTGATGTAATGTGGTTACAGAGCAGAGCTCAGGCAGAAGGCATCCAGTGGGGGTGGGGATAGCGTGGGGGTGCATGTGGGGGCAGGTCACAGCCAGGGCTGCCCTTATATCACTGCAAAATACCGCCCCTGCAATTGGAAATAGATTTGTAAGGAGCAGCTGAGGCGTTCCCCCTTTAAGGCAGGTTTCTGCATGGGGCAGGTCAGCTGAGGGTGGCTCTTTCAGCAGTTACGGAGACATGAGGTGAGGAACAGAAGGCAGAGCTGGATTAGCTGGGCCACACAGCCCACAGGCTGCTGGAGTGCCCGTGACTTCAGGCAGCAAGGGCACATGGGGAGCTGGGCACATTTTGCTGTGACTCCCCCATATCTGGCAGCGTGGCTTATGCAGAGGGGACTCAGAAGAGCTGTGGAAAGAGGAGTTAAAACCCATTAAGAGAGAGGAGATACGTGCTGAGCAGGAGCGGTGCCAGGGTTTTTGCCGCCCAAGGTAGCAGCGCTCCTCCTCTGAGCATTCGGCGGCGGGGGGTCCTTCCGCTCCGCCTCTTCGGGGCACTTTGGTGGCGGGTCCTGGAGCGGAAGGACCCCCCGCCACCGAATTTCCACCGAAGACCTGGAGCGGAAGGACCCCCCGCCACCGAATTTCCGCTGAGGACGGCAAAATGCCATCCCCCAAATCCTGCCGACCAAGGCGACCACCTAGGGTCGCCTAGTGGAAGCGCCGGCCCTGGTGCTGAGTCAACAAAACTTCTCTGTAGGCTTAGAGGCAGGTGCTGGGGCCTGCTCTGGTGGCACAAAGTGGCTGGAAAGCCCGTGGATTTGGCCTAAGGACCACCCTGCAAAGGGGACTGCTATGGACCATCCACCCTCTTCGCCCCAGAACAGGACTAGAGGATCCTAGGAACTAACGGACTGGGTCGGACCAGCGCTCATCCGGCTAGTCTAGGCTCTGGGTATGGCTACACTGCAGCTGGCAGGGAGCCTCGCACCCCAGGCAGACAGGCTTGGGTGAGTGGGGCTCACGCTAGCATGTGGACGTCGTGGCGCCCGCAGAGGCTCGAGCTAGCCATGTGAGCTCAAGCCCACCCTAACCCTGGGTCCAAGCTCAGGTGGCTATCGCAAGCCTCTGCCGCAACATCGATTCAGCTATTTTTAGTGCGCTAGTGCCAGCACCATAAACACACGTCTGTCTATGTGCAATAGACAAAAGTGCAGATACCCCTTCTGGGCCCTGTACCCATTGCTTCAGAAGAAGATGCAAGAAAGCCTTCAGTAGGCAGTTATGGGATAACCCACCTCCCAATTTCTTGTTTGTTTAACATCCTTAGTGTTGTAACTCAGGGTGTTCTTGCTAATCATCTAGACCTCTTCTCCCTTTTTTGAGCCCTCAACAGTATCCTGTGACAGTGAGTTCCACAGCTTAACCTTGCAGCGTGTGTGTGGAAAAAAATATCTCCTCTGAGCAGTTTCAGATTTGCCACCTTTCCATTTCATTGCCTGTACCTTTGCTCCTGTTTATTTGCCCTTCTTGTAACACTTTCCTGATCTACCTTTTCGGTACCGTTCATTGCTTTGTACAGTCTCACATGTTCCTTCTGACTCCTCTCCTCTCTAAGGCAAACAAACTCTCTGCTTCCATGGAAGGTTTGCCATGTTTCTCATCGTCTGTCTCTGACCGTAATTAATTTTGTGGTATCCTTTGAGGCTGGATGGCCAGAACTGAACACAGTATTCCAGATCAGGGCACCTCAGCAATTTAGATAATGCCAGTGACAAAAGCCAAAAAAGATAAAATTCGATAAATAAACCCAGCATTGCTGAGGTGTCAGAATCCCGCACTGGCTGAAAGCAAGTCCATAATCGTCACTGCTAAGGAGGGAGCTGATCCTGCAAAATTGAAGTTAATAAGAATTTGGCCATTGATTTCAATAGGAGCAGAATCAACCCCTAGATTCATTATACCATTTGCCCACTAGGGGGAGATATCCAATAAGGCTTTGCTGCATATGGAATTCACATGTTATTTCTCCCCACATGGCCGAGCTTCCTTCTGTTTTTAAAATCAACGTTTGTGACTTTAGGCAAAACAAACAAAGTGGTGGAAAAGCAGATGGCCCTGTTTGTTTATGGGCATCTTCATGCAGACACACAAGAGAGGAGTGGAAAGAACAGGAGTACTTGTGGCACCTTAAGAGAGGAGTGGGGGATCCTTTGGAATTTGAAGTCAAAACGTGACACACCCTAGTGAAATAAGCAGAACCAGAGCTGAACTAATGGGTGGAGATTATATTTCAAACCTTCCAATCAGTCACGAATAAGGCAGATGGATCCCCAATATGTAAAGAGTGAAGCAACCCAGGATGACCTGCGGGATCAGTGAGGGGTATGCTCTTCAGCAGCTCTGAGGGGCTGCAAAGTGCATCCCATCCCATTAAGAGAAGGGGATAAAGAGGCCTGGACTCTTTAGAATTCACTCCTTGAGATTCAAGAGGAAAACCAAGCCTGGGGCTGGAGGGAGAGGCAGGAGAATGGGGTTAAGCAATGGGAGACGCAGGAATTTAAAAATAAGATAAATGTGAAAGGGAAGCAGAGACCCAGTGGAATTCAGAACAAACACAACCAAATCAGCAAAGCCCCCTTTGTGAGCTAGTGGCTCTTAGGTGTTGCTTACACTATCATAATTGCACCCATGGGTGCAGCTGAACAGGGTGTGGACCATGACTCAGCTGCGAGTATAGCCAAGCACAAACCAGTTTCTGAAACGATGCTAGAACATGGTGTGGGCTTGGCTACTCTTGCAGTTAAACTGGGACAACTGCACTTATTGCTGACATCCATTGGCAGTAGGGGATAGTTCCTGTACCGTAGACGAGGATTTTCAGGACTGCAAACTTTTAAGCATTGTCACCGACTCATTGCCATCTTCTCCTGTTATCTGATACTGTATTAATTGCTTAGCTGGGGGAAGTGAGCCTGGCAAAAGCAACAGGTTTTTCTTCTGACACCAGGTAATAATATTTATGACTCCACTAGCAGAGACACTTCATCACCTGTGAGTGAATTGATTCTGAGGCACACTCCCCACTAGGTGGCAGCACAATTGCACCAGTGAGCATGCTACAAAATCATCCTATTACTTGGCACAAATGTGGCACCTTTCCTCCAATGATCTCCAAGCTCTTCCAGGACAGTTAGTTTTGTCCCACTCTTGGTAGGCAGGTAAGCACTTTAGGGAGAGGGAATTGGAGACTTAATGGAGGAAGGTGACTTGCTCTGGGTTCTTCTACATACAGTAGCAGAGTCAAGAAGAAAGTTCTGATTCCCCATACCCTGCTGTAACCACTAGCCCATGCACGAATTACAGAGACTGCAAGTCTAAAACAAGACAGCATGGTGTTTTTCAGGACAGACCTTTGATTCTCAGAGATGTTATTTTCTTTCTTCACATCTGCTTCGGGTGACAACTTAAGCATGGTTAAAAAAACGGAAAGGAAATATCCAGCTAGTACGGCGACAGAGGACAGAGAGCAGTCTGACTCTGGTACAGTGGGGTTAGAAGTCCTGTTCAGGGTCTTCTCCCAGGCTCTATGCCAAGTGAATAAACACGCCCTCCTCCCTACAGATCAGAGTGCAGACCTGATTGGCCCAAATAGCGGCCCTCAGTGACTCACTGCACTAAATTCTGGTTTCGCTTTTTATAATCTTCCCCCAGTCCTGCGGATTCTTGATGGTCCCCACTAGACAGATCTACAGCTACAGGGGTAACCAGGAGACAGCACAGAGACTGCTCTGGGGGCGGGGAAAAAAAAAGCCACTTACAGAAATGTCCCAAAACCACAGAAATAAACATGCCAGCTCACAGTCAAGTTAAGGCCATTACCGGAGTTTGGGGGTGGAGTGGGAGGTTATTTAAGGACAGAACTGAATGCTCACCCCTGAGTAAGTGAACATGGATTGTGCTTTAGCGTGTCCACAAAGAGAGTGTGACATTGGCTGAGGATCACTGCTTTAGCTTGTTTCATATCAGGCCCCCTCCACCCTGGGACTCTTCCCATATCTAGCCAGGACCCACCTCTCCTCTACCAGTATAGGAAGGGTGGATGGTCACATGCCACTGGGGTCCCTGTTTTGATCCCCACATTGAGAATCCATGAGCTAGAGGATCAAAGGGCATGCCCTGCAGTGGGGCTGCAGCACCGAGTCCAACTGATGGAGAGGGAGGGGGGATGAGAAAGGAAGACCGAAGTTAGGACTTGGAAAACACTCTCACACAGGACCAATCACTCAAGAGGTCACAAGTGACGGAGTGGCTCTGTTAACGTGCTGCTTGCATTTCTCCACGTAGCTTTGGTCAGAGACACAAAACAACAACATAGTGGCAGAGCCTAGTAACATGATGCTGCGGAGGATCCCCAAGCACATGAGCTTCCTGGATTCATTCTTCAAGGTCAGTCCAGTGCACATCTCCATGGTGGGCGGAGAATCAGGGTTAAGTGCAAGATCAGGGACTGGAAGCCCCTTCTGCCAAAAGACTCCACTTCACTGCCTGATGTGCCATCGGTGTGCGATTGTATTAAACAGCTGGTGAGGGGCAAGGAGGGGAAGAGAAACGCTCCTGGGACTGGCATTGGTAGGGAGGCCCCTGTCCAACCCTTTCAATGAACATGGCAGAGCAAGATCTTTGGGGTGTCCAAAAGCTCGTAGGGAACCCTGCAGCCATGGGCTTAGAACAGACACGACAGACATTCTGCCACCATTTTTGGCTGTGGCATTTGTATCTAGAGGACACCAAAGGGGCTAGCAGTTGGCAGAGATCCGCCTGGCACACAGATTGCAGTCCTGGACAGTGATTGGCAGGTTCACCATCTTCTTACGGTTTTTTAGGATAGAGATCCAGCAACACTTCAGATGGAAAAGGACGATGGAAGAACCCAGATATCAGAAGTAGTTCAAGCAGAATTCAACCTCTACGGCACGTCCTCTACAGAGTCAGAGGGCAGGTATGGCAAAGCCAGTGACTGCTCCCTGCCTGCTCTCCATTACCACAGGGTTATTAGCTAATCCCCACAATACTGATGTTTGTAGCACCGCTAGTGGCTTCATAATTAGGGTCGGGACACCCCAATGAAGGCTATGGGGCAAATTCACACTTACACCAGTTCTACCCCAGTGTAACTCCATTGACATTGTTGGGGTCATTCCTGATTTACACTGGTGTGCATGAGAGAGAAACAGACCGAATGGATTTACAGCAGGGCTGTGTTTAGTCTGTAACTGTTACTGTGAGCTACATACAGAAGAAACAGGATTGCTACAGGGAGTGCAAGATTCACACCCGCCACCCCCATGGGGGGACCCTACCCCACTCACCTCCCTCTTCTCATGCCCTTATCCGAGTGTGATGCTATGGAGGTCACCCCAGTCTGCCCCTTTCGGCCAGGCATGGTGCCACAGGTGAGCCCTGCCTCACTTCTCTTCACCTAAGTTATAAACAAGGCTAGACCTTTTTAATCAACAAGCACACCCCCTTGCCAAGGTTTCACATACTGACTGACATAGGCATAAATAGGCACTTACCCCAATGCACTCAGGGACATTTGTTGTGTCAGGCTCACTCCAACCAGCAATCAATGACCGGATTTAGGGGCATGCGACCCAGGCAACCACCTGGGGTGCCAGGTTTGGGGGACACCGGGCTTGGGTGCTGTTTTTGTTGTTAGCGACAAAAGGGAAAATAGAATGTTTGAAGTAAAATGTTTCAGGTATTCCACATGTGAGTTCATTTTTCACTAACCTCCTAGAATATTCTGGACCTTTGTAGAATCTCATGGAACCTTAAAGACTTTCTGAGAACTACATTTTCCTCGAACCGCCTAGAATGTTGTGGGCCATGTCCTTGTGGGTAGATAAGGGGTGGGGTGTCGCCAGTCAGTCAATGAGATTAAGAACTAAGTGAAGTGAAGTGAGAGCCTAGCTGTGATATTGTGAACTTTGTTTTATTGTGTAATTGTGGAAGTGTATGTGTGGGTGGCACCGAAATGGAGGTGGGGTGCCAAAAACGCTCCTTGACTGGAGCACCATTTGGGCTAGGGCCAGCCCTGCCAGCGATCTCTGGCTCCTTCCTTCAGGAGACTCTGCTCCCCCGCATCTGGGAGCAGTCTGTTTCTGGGACTCTCCCTGGTTCTGTCTCTGGGTTACTCCTTTTCAGCCCTTCCTTAAGCAGGAGTCCCCAGTTCTCCCCTCTGAAGCGGAGTTGTGGATTAGCCAGCTGTAGGGTCTTTGCCAGCTTCCCCCTCAGCTGGTCCCTTTTCCTCAAGGAGCCTTCCAGCATCTCCACGAGCCTTACCCTATTGCTGTCTCCTGGTGTCTGCCCTGCTACCAGGGAAGAGGCAGCATAGCATGTACGCTGCTCCCCTTCTCCTAACTCATCCCCAGTCGGCTGGGAGAGAGGGGAGCTTTGCCCCACCCTCTCTGTAAGGCTCCTGGCCCTTAAAGAAACAGTGATGGCATTTCCTCCCAAAACACTTCTTACTCCTAGAACGACTTCTGCTCTCCCAAGTCCTTGTATATATGGTCAGACATTTCAAACTCTTAAAGGCTTGCCACGTGATGGGGTGGGCAGACCATTAGGCTCCACTACTCTTAAGGAGCATACCACCCCATCACACTAACTACTGCCTTGTGATCAATCCTTTTTAAACAAGGGGTCCCATGTATCTAGGGAAACCCACACTCTGCCCCTGGATGTGCCTCTCTCAGAATGAATAGCCACAATAGCGACTATGGTCTGTTGCTTCATTGTTTTCCATTGTGGATGTATGGGGGTCTGTCCCTCTCCCTACTGGCAAGTCTCCCCCCAGCATCACCCAACCACCAGGCATTGATCATAAACTCAGTTTCCCTTGAGAAAGCTGGTCAAGGCAACACAGCACTGGGGCGCATGTGTGTGTGTGTATTTTGTAGTGATTCATACTATGGAGAAACTAAACTACAGATGAGGAAAAATGGCCTTATATGAGTAACCCAGCAAGCAGTGTAGCAAGCCATTGGGTTTTCCTGTCAGCTGACACAGCTGCAATAGACCTGCCTTTTTCTATAGTTGTCTGGTTATTAGCTGTCTAATATGCTAAAAAGTGCTTTTGCAATCCATTTGATTAGGTACCAGTGTTTGACTCATTATTTAAAGGGTTGCTACAAACAATATTTTTGTAAGCCCAGATACATCAGTGTTATGTACTGTCTATGAGGGCCACTGACCACAAAATGGGCTTAAAACTAGCTGTTTTTCAAGTTCTTCTGTGTAAGACTACGCCCCTCCAGCCCCAGCATGCACTGCGCTAATGCTATCATGTAAAGCACAGAACTCCACTGGAGATGACAGCCACTGCAATGCAGGTCTATCTGCATTATATTATTTGGCCACTAGATGTCTGTTTGCTGGATAGAGTTCCAGACAGAATGTGGTCCTTGGTAAACAATGAAAAGGAAGCTGGAACTCAAGCTGTGTGAAAACTAGTTTGGTGTTCCAGAACGCCTTGCGTAAGTCGAATTTTGCGTAAGTCAGGAACGTATCTCCGACAATTATGCAAAAAAGAAAAAAAAAAAAGCTTACGGGACTTACAGAACTTTTTCCGTAAGTCTGGATTTCCGTAACCAGGGGAGCATCTGTATATTGTATTTTGCAATTTTTCCTAAGAAAAACCCTTATTTTACAAAACAACAATAAGATGTAAGGGGTGGGCATGATGTTACCAAGACACTGCATGTTGGGGCATTATGAGGCAGGAAGTGGACTTTGTAGAAAGGCACATTTAAAGTTTATTCTGTATTGAATGCCTCTCATTGCTGAGCTATCTGAAGCATCCAGTAAAACATTCTGAAGTTGTTTGCTTTTAGTTTGCAATTCAACTCACCTTTAAATATACTACTGATAGACCATATGCTATCCCCAGGGTCTGGCCAGAACATACACAAGATATTTTTCCTACTTATCAAACTTAGTAAGGATTACTTTCCCCATCCCTCATAGTTCATTAGTTAATTCATTCTATTTCTGGGGTAGAGATTGCCAAACTTTATAAATAACGGTACATCAATCCAGACCTTAAATGTTTTATCTTTTCTTACAGATGGAAAATAAATGATCTTAGCAACTTCAGTTCAAGTCAAGAGCTGGCTAGTTTACCTGCGAGAAAGGAGAGGAAACTACAATCAGAAAGTTCTCGGTGGGAGGCGATCTCTTCTCCAAAATCAGATCTTGTTTCTGCACCAAGCAGGTCTGAAGTTGCGGTATTGTTCCCCAGTCTCCCACTGTCCTGGGAGGACATCCAGCCCAAACACTCTGGTTGTAAGTTTAAATTCTGCCACTTTATACAATCTGGCATTAGGGGAGTCAAAGAATCATGCATGGGCAACACTTGCAGACACGTGGCCTGGGCTCATGTAATCTAGATTAATCCCTCCAAGAGGGTGAGAATTAGTTACAGTTGATGCTAAACGTCTCCCTTACAATGTGATAACTACTGTCCTGGGGGATCCAGTTACAATACTGTGGTCCCCTGACAGTTAAAACATGTTCTCAGTTATTCTACCAATTTCAGTACAGTCACTCTGGCATAACTGAAGTCAGGGTCCAGCTGGCAAGCTACAGGAACCAAGTATATTTTAAACCACACTGGGGAGTTTATTGAATTATTATTATGCTAGTGTCTGGATGCCCTATCCAAGATCAAGGCCCCATTATGTTAGGTGTCGAGCATGCATATAGTAAGAGACAGCCCCTATTCCAAAGAGTTTATAGACTAAATAGACAAAGGGAGCTTTATTATGCCCATTATATAGAGAGATTAAGTGACTGCCCCAAGACCACACAGGAAGCCTGTGGCAGAGTTGAGAATTAATGATGTCTCCTGAGTCCCAGTCCAGTGCCTTAACCACAAGATCTTTTCTTGCATGATATAAATAGTTCCTGCGGCCACCTCCTGGGATCTACAGCAGCTGTAACTTGATGATAGCTTTAACTAACCTCCCAACTAACTAAGCTTAGTTCAAAAAACCCCCACCCAGTTGCATTGTACTATCACGGGAGAGAACCGACCATCCCAGGCACCTATTACACTCTGTTTTCTGCAACACTTGTCACACACCAGGCATCACCAAACACTTGACACTAAATGTATGCCTACACCTGGAGCTGGGGGCATGATTCCCAGCTCGAGGAGACAAACCCGTGCTGCTGTGGCGATGCGAGCTAGCACAAGCGGCAGGAGGGGCTAGCCACCCTGAGCGCATGCCCAGAGATACTGGGTATGTATTCAGAGCAGGGAGCCCTCTCCCACCACTCACATCACCGCTGCTATGCTATTTCTAGCCTGCTAGCTCGCTGAGACCTAGTGCAACAACATCTCCTCCAGCTGGAAATCACCCCCCCAGCTCCAAGCATAGACATACCCGAAAACGGAATCGATAAGCTAGCACGGGGCCCTGCCAATGCAGGATTGCTGCTTGCGGTGGAGCCTGGGGCACTCTGGCCAGTTAGAGATTATAGGGACTGCACAGGAAGACCGGGCACCCATGGGGCCCTGAGCAATAGCTCACTTGCAGCTTTGGATACTGGAGCCCGTTAAAGGCCCCAGGTTGGAACCACTGAAGCAAAGTAAAGTTGTGCTGAGGTTTTTGTTAGTAGCAGGAGGACACTAGTGGGCAGGGAAGTTCGTCAGAACACACGGCGGTGTTCCTACTCTTTTCCAAGAGCTTCTGGGATCTTAAACAGCTATCGGAATGGCCACAAGGGATATGGGTGTCACATCCCCTGCACAAGCACTGAGTAGAAGTCTCTCCTAGGAGAGGGAATGCTGGCCAGGACATCAGCATTAGGCCTTCTCCTTTGGCAAAGCACCGTCAGGGCACTGGCTTCTAACACATCCAGCCAGGCATTTTGTGGAGTGACTCTTCCCAAGGACAGCCCCTGTAACAGCACAGCATCAGGCACCACACTGCAAAATCAGCGCGTGGAGCAGTGTTTGAACCTGCAGCCTGGCTGGGGGTGGGAACAAGATGCACGTTTAACAGGGAGGGGGATTAGCCATTGGGACACCTGACCAGGAGACATGGTCGATTCGCCATCACTTGGAGTCTTCAGATCAGGATTGAACATCTTTCTGAAGATACACGCTAGTTCCACCACAAGTTACCGTGAGAATCACGGAGTAGAGTCCTGTGGCCTGTGTTATGCAATGGAGCAAACTAATGGATCGTAATGGTCCCTTCTAGCCTTACAATCTGTGAACCCAAAATAAAAAGCAAAAGTACGTAGTAAATTGGATGTTATTTGAAACCAATTCTACCTCTGAGGAGATCTGGGTAGACTGACCTCCACCACTGTCAGGGCCGGCTCCAGGGTTTTTGCCGCCCCAAGCAGCCCCCCCCCCCCC